ATTTTTCAGAGTGTAGAAAAAATTCACATGGCTAACATTTTATTCCATTCATTTCTATTTTTCCATATTATTATTAATTTCCTTCCCAATATTATTCTATATTTTTTTGGCGTACGACTTCCTTCCATTCATTTCTATTTTTCATATTATTATTAATTGTTTAGGCGGGAACTTGTAAATGAGGATATTGTTTTTATTAATTAATATAGAATATAGATTATCAATTAAAATTAAAGTTTTTTTTATAATTGAACAATAATATTACCAATTATTATTTGAAGATTTTGTAAAACAGTAAGTAAAATTGTATTACGGATAGGAAAATATATGTATTTTAATTTTAATTTTAATTATTAATAATTAATTCTATTTTATTTTTTAACAAAATCTTCCTTAAATATTAATAGTAAAATAAAGCTAAATTATTAATAACCAATTCTATTACATTTTTTACGCAGAATTTTTCTTAAAGATTAATATAGTATAATTAAGCTAAATTATTAATAACCGATTTTATTACATTTTTTTACGCAGAATTTTTCATAAAGATTAATAGTAAAATAAGACTAAATTTGTAATAACCAATTCGTTTTCTATTTTTTACGTAAAATTTTCCGTAAAAGATTAATAGTAAAATATCTTAATGATTATTTTTCTTATACTGCTTATTGATTCTTTTTCATTTTTCAGAGTGTAGAAAACATTCACATGAATAATATTTCCTTCCATTATTTTCCATACTTCCATATTATTATTAATTTTCTTTCCAATATTATTATTAATTGTTTGGGGGTACGGCTTCCTTCCATTCTTTTTCATTTTTTCATATTATTATTAATTGTTTAGGCGGGAGCTTATAAAGGATGATTTGTTTTTATTAATTAATATAAATATAAATATAGATTAATATAGAATATACATTACCAATTAAAATAAGTTTTTTTTTAAATATTATATTGAACAATAATATTACCAATTATTATTATTATTATTATTATTATTATTATTATTATTGGTTCACATAGTTGAATTATTTATTTTTTATTTAATTATTATAAACATAAATGATATTTTACTAATTAATTTATGATATTTATCAAATTGTATTTTTTAAATATAGTGTTTTATCCATGCATTGCACGGAATTTCATTTTTGTTATTATGAATTTAAAATAAAAATAAAAAAAATAAAAAGATGTTAAAATGTACAATATAATAATATAGTTGGACTTTTATATATTTAGTCAAGTATCTATTTCATAACATACAAAATTTAAATTTAAATTTTGTATGGTTAATATATTCTATAATCATGTACATATTTAGAATTTTAGATAAATTTATAGAAAAAATTCATATAATTAAGTTGATTTATTCCAAATTGTATTTCATATCTATATATGAAATTTAAAAATATGAATAATAAAAACTAAGAGAATTGTACTTAGAAATCAATAAAAAAAATATAAATTCTAAATTTTGTATGAATAAATAAATATTCTAATCGGACGCATATCCTTATATGATTGTATAATACTTTGTATATACACATAATATTTATTAATATGTGTATAGGAAAGTCCTATAATATAATTTCATTAATTATAATTTATATTTATAGATTTATACTTAAAAAATTATATTTAGAAATTTAAAGAGTATATGTATGTATATTTAAAAAAATTATAAATATTCATGTTTTGTTAATTTTATAATTTCATTTCTTTAATTATATTTCATATTTTATTAATTATAATTTAATGAAATTGTCACAAATATGTCTACGGAAGAAATCATATATTTTTCAATTTCATTAATTATATTAATTATAACTACCAAATATTGTGGCAATTACCACAATAATTTCATTAATTATAACATTTGTTTTCTTCCAATATTTAAATACATTACCATAAAATTACCATAATAATAACACAAAAGAAGGAAAGAAAAATTATGAGAATAATCTATATCTATATATAATTAAAAGTAAAATCCTCCTAACCAAGTTTATCCCCAAAACTTATGGGCATATATATATATATATATATATATATATATATATATATATATATATATATATATATATATATATATATATATATATATATATATATATATATATATATATATATATATATTGCATATTTACCATATATGCATATTTTGTGTTTATATAGTATAATTTTTGGTATCAAACATTTGAATGGTAATAAACGGGGGAAAATGTCAACATACAAATGATAATTCTTTCATTACTATACTAATTTTAATGGTAATTCATTAATTACTATATTTCACGATGAGTCAGCCTGTTCATGCCCATCATTTTTCAAGAAACATAGAAATGAAATAGTCAATTATTAAAATTGTTTATGATTTCGTTTTTAATTTTTGTCTAAAGTTAAAGATATATATTTTCGGCGATTATAACATTTTTTGTATTAACTGAAAATTTGAAAGTTTTACCTTTTTTGAGATCTCTTACCATTTTATAATTTCAATACTGTGCTATTTTGAACTCATCCATGGTGTATAAATACACTCTATATGACCATACAAAATCCATTGAGGAGACATTTGTACTCAAAAGTAAACTTCTCCTTAAACTAAATTCGCGTGTCAAGAAAATCTCCGTTTTCATTCATAATGATATTCCTATTTCTGAGTCTCTCATCACCGTTCGGTACATCAATGATGTCTGGATTTCTGGGTCTTCCATTGTTCCCTTTGATCCTTATGATTGTGCCATTGCCCGTATTTTTTTATTTGGGTTCAGTACAACGTGGATTTTTTGGGAGGTTTCTCTAATTAAATTTTTTTAGTTAAAAATTTATATTTCCTATGTATTTTATTTTATTACTTTTTTATTTATTTATACTAATATGTGAATGGAGTAACACAAAATCTGAAATTGTATTTGTTATTTATTTCTTCTTTTTAAATAATCATTATTTTTGTGTTTTACGTACAAAAATTTAGAAAAAATCAAATATAGCGAGATTTTTAATAGGTTAAACAAACACTCTACTCAAGTTGTGATATATATATATATATATATATATATATATATATATATATATATATATATATATATATTAATTATAAAAATGCTGTAAAATGAACTCTGCTTGGTAAAAAAAAAAAAAAAAAAAAAAAAAAAACATAGAAACTTGAATGACATGTACAAATCTCGAAGTCAACATACTAACTCTAAGTTTCAGAAAATCTTACAAAATTATCAAAATTACCGTATTTATCATCCTCGATCGCATCTCTACAATCTTCCATAAAAACTAAACCAATAGGGTTCTGCTACAAATGCTCTTCCTCCTCAATTTCCTTTTGTTGAAGCAGAGCCTCCTTAAGTATCTTCAAACTCATACCAGATGATATAAACTGCAAAACATATTGAAGTACGTGAGAATATAGTTAGAAAAATGTAGAAAATTCATACAAAAAGAAAGCAGAGAGATGAGTTTGAGATTCTTTGATTGAAGAAGCCATTGTATTTATAGGTAGAAAATACTAATTCAAAAGGAAAGTATAATAATTTATTTATTTAAGGGAAAGTATAATAATTTATTTATTTAAGGAATAACATTATTATTATTATTATTATTATTATTATTATTTATTTATTTATTTATTTATTTTTCATTTGACATTTACTTACCAAATAAGTTTTACTACAAAAGTTTTGGGGGGAAAATTTGTTAGGAGGATTTTACTTTTATATATATATATATATATATATATATATATATATATATATATATATATATATATATATATATATATATATATATATATATATATATATATATATAGATATATAGATATATAGATATATAGATTAAATTAATTAAATAATAATTTAGTAGCTACAACAAAAAAATACATAAACTTTTTTTTTATTACATTGTAGTATCTGTTCATATACTTTCTCAACCTATTGAAACACAAAGAACCAATAACGCCTCCACTGAGGCTCGAACTCATAACTTTCCAAATGGAAGTCCAACCCGGGTACTATTAGACCACATAGTCCTGGTTAGTTATATTGTCTTTATTTTTCTCCAATATAAAAATTCTTTACATTCAAATTCATCAATCGATTATATTCGCTACATTCTCCCTACAATGTCTTTATTATAAAAATAAAATAAAAAAAATTATTCATTATTAATAAATTAATTAAGAGAAATAATTTTATTAGTTATATTGTCTTTATATTTCTCCAATGTAAAAATTCTATACATTCAAATTCATCAATTGATTATATTCATTACATTGTCTATTATATTTTTTGTGCACTATTTTTTTAATTAAATATCAAAGTTATAATACAAAATAATGCTATGTATTTATTTACCAAATATTTTATTAATACCATGAAAAAATTAAGAAAAATATAATATATAATATAATTAATAAAGCCAATCATATTAACTACTTGATGGATTTATTGACAAAAGAGAGTATTCAAATCACACAACAAATTAAAGTGAGAACTATCTTGCAATATCCTTGTTTAACAATCAGCAGTTAGCGGTTAGCGTTAGCGGATTATATTAACGAATTTGACCAGCGAATTATATCAAGGTAAAAAGATATTTGAAAAAATTAGCTATTCAGATTGATAAGTGTGATTAATTCAATCGGTTGCAACAGAATAGATTACATGATAGTATATCAAACTATTCCACTAAAGACTCGGCTAAGAGACTTAGACTAATTCTACCACCACAAGCTAATATACTATAGTATAAACAATAATAATAATAATATTATTATAATAATAATAATAATAATAATAATGATAATAATGATAATAATAATAATAATAATAATAATAATAATAATAATAATAATAATAATAATAATAATAATAATAATAATAATAATAATAATAATAATAATAATAATAATAATAATAATAACAACAACAAGACCAATACTGACACACCCCCTCAAGCACAAGGTTGGTGAAGCACAACATTGAGCTTGTCCCGAAGAGCAGAAAACCTCGGTCCTGGAAGGGGCTTGGTGAGAACATCTGCAAACTGATCTTTGGTAGAAATGAAATTGACCACAAAATCAGCCGAAGCAACCTTGTTCCGAACAAAATGATAGTCGATCTCCACATGTTTCGTGCGGGCATGAAAAACTGGATTTGCACACAGATATGTAACCCCTAAGTTATCACACCACAAGTTGGAAGGCTGTCCAGAATACAGTCCAAGATCGCGCAGCAAAGAGACAATCCACGTGACTTCAGCAGCAACATTAGCTAAGGCTTTATACTCAGCCTCAGTAGAGGAACGAGCAACCGTGCGCTGCTTCCGGGAGAGCCAGGAGACCATATTAGACCCCAGAAAGACAGCAAATCCACTTGTGTTTTTCCTGTCGACCGGACAACCAACCCAATCGGAATCTGAGTAGGCATGTATGGCGGTAGTCGATGACGGTGAAAGACGTAACCCATAATCCAAAGTGCCCTTGATGTACCGTAATACCCATTTGACCATGGCCCAATGATCAGTAGACGGGGAGTGCATGTGCTGACAGAGACGGTTTACCGCATAAGATAGATCAGGACGCATAATAGTAAGATACTGAAAAGCTCCCATGATACGACGATACTATGTCGGATTCTCAAAAGGCTGATCCGATGGAGAGACAGCCTGTGTGACCAAAGCAGGTGTGGCTAGAGGCTTGCAATCCACCATCCCGGACCGGCTTAACAAGTCAGTCATATATCGCCGCTGTGATAGAATCATACCTGTGCCTGAGTCAACTGTTTCAATGCCCAAGAAGAACCTTGGTTTTCCAAGATCCCGAATCTTGAAGGTAGAGGCTAGACGCTGAAGTAGAGAACCAACCAAGGCAGCATCACTTCCCATTATGATTATGTCATCAACATATACCAGAAGAAAGACCCGTGACTCGGCGGCAGTGTAGCAAAACAGAGAGACATTGGTTTTAGACGAGGCAAAGCCCACAGATAGCAAATAATCATGAAGGCGTTTGAACCACGCCCTGGGAGCCTGCTTAAGACCATATAGCGATCGTTGCAGGACACAGATGTGACCCAGGTGTGCTGGATCCTCATACCCTGGTGGCTACTTCATGTAAACTTTCTCGGCTAAATGCCCGTTGAGGAAGACATTATGGACATCTAACTGACGTAGTATCCAGTTGTTTGAGACAACCAATGAAAAGAGGATACGGACTGTAGTCGGTTTGACAACCGGGCTAAAAGTGTCGAAGAAATCTTCCCCGGCTACTTGATTGAACCCCTTGTCCACGAAACGAGCCTTGTACCGCTCGACTAAGCCATCTGTGGTGCGCTTGGTGCGGAACACCCACTTGCACCCGATGATGTTCATGGTTGAATCGGGCGGAACTAGACTCCCGGTGTTGTTGTGAAGAAGAGCATTGAACTCTTGATCCATAGCGTCCCGCCATTGCGGGTGCCCAACGGCTTAGGAGTAGTACGTTGGATCAGTGGTTGCAGTTAGGGCATGGAACTCTTCATCGGTGCCCCGAGTCATATGGCATAGGCGCATGATATGCCCCCTGTCCTGAGGCTGGGCCTGTTTAGTCCGTGTACGAGCCTGTGTTGGTGGGGCAGCGGACTCAATAGCCAAGGGCGGTGCCTCTTGAGCCAACGGGATAGGCTCAGTTACTGGTGGTATAGGGCCTGGATCATGGCCAATGGATTGCGTGAGAGACGGTATTATGGGTCCAACTGCCCATGGCATAGGAACAGGCGTAGTGACTGCCTGCTGTAAACCTGTGACAAAAGGGAAAACAGATTCGTCAAACCGCACGTGGCGATAGATATAGGTTTTCCCGCTGATTAGGTCCATGCACCTGTATCCCTTATAAGAAGGTGGGTAACCTAGGAAGACACACAGGGTGGAACGATACTCCATCTTATGCCGATTGTAAGGCCGTAGATGGGGGTAACATTGACACCCAAAGACTCGTAGGAATTGATACGGAGGTGACTTTTTGTAGAGACGAGAATACGGGCTTTCATATTTTAGGACTGAAGATGGGATATAGTTTATTAGACACGTGGCAGTCTCTAAGGAATAGTCCCAATACTGTTGTGGAACAGACCCCTGAGCAAGAAGAGCTAAGCCCGTTTCGACAATGTGCCTATTACGGTGCTCAACTCTCCCATTATGTTCATGTGTGTATGTAGGCACATGCAGACTGCCGGTGATTAATTCCCAACGATTGGAATGTGTTATGTAATTTTCTGTACTCACCCCCTAAGTCCGACTGTATAGACTTGATAGAGCGCGAAAACTGCCGCTCTACCAAAACACGAAACGCATCAAATTTTTTATAAATGTCTGATTTTACCCGTAATGGATAAAACCAGTAGAAACGGGAGTAATCGTCAACAAATAACAAAAAGTACCGAAACTCACTAGACGAGACTACCGGGGCAAGCCCCCAGATATCCGTATACAAGAGATCTAGAACATTTTCACTACAATTGTCAACTCTATCTAGTTTAAAATGGGATGACTTGACGAGATGGCAAGCCGAACACGAACCCAAAGGCTTGGTATTATTTGGATTGACCAAGCAGTGTTGTAAGACTTTATTTTGCACTAGATTGTGAGGGTGACCGAGCCTACGATGCCAAACCACCGGTGTAGCACGGGAACTGACAAACGCAAACGGACTTCGTGACACAGGTAGTTTGTATAGACCTCCCGAGGTAGGACCCTTAAGTAGTACTGCCCTGGTTTTGGAATCCTTCACAAAAAAAAAACCATTGTCATGAAATTCAAAAAAGACTCTATTTTCAGTAGCAAATTTCAGGACAGACAATAGTGGGACGGTTAATTTAGGAACATGCAACACGTTAGACAAATATAACTGTTTGGAGAGTGAAGGAATGGATGCATGGCCAACCCGCGAGATAACAAAACCTGTACCGTTTCCAACGCGGAGGGTGTCGAGGCCACCATATTCCTCTGAATTCGTCAACATGCCGGCGTCAGGTGTGGCATGTGCCGAGGCACCCGTATCCTGATACCAAGCTTCAGCCGGGGGAGCAGCGATTGTCGGTGAGTCACCGGAGACGGCGACAAGGGCTTGAGCAGGCGGCTGGTTGTTGTAGCGTTTGTAGCAATACACGGCCGTATGACCTTGGGATCTACCGATTTGACACCGAGGGGCGTCGTGGCCACCACAACCGTCGCGGTTGTTGTTCCGGCCACTGCTACGTCCGCCACGTCTGCCTCCGTCACCATGGGAGCCGGTGTTGCTGCCACGACCACGACCCACATACATGGCCGTGTGGACACCCCCGCTGCCTCCGTCTGCCGGAGTGGGTATCGTCGACGAGAATGAAGTCAGCCACCTGGAGATAATCGTCAAGTTGCGGAAGACTCTCCAGCGCGTTGACTGTCAGCGAAGCGGCGTAGGACCTGTACTCCGGTCGCAGACCACGCAGAATATAGAGGTTCTGTTCGGCCACAGAAAGTGGTTGGCCGGCTTGAGCTAGCGCCTCGACAAGGAGTTCCGCACGGCCAAGATAATCTGCCGGAGTTGCATTACCTTGCCGGAGTGCTTGGAACTGGCCAAGCAAGTTGAGACAGCGCGCCTGTGTGTTGGAACCGAGAGCCGTGCAGATAGACCGCCACACCTCCGCCGCGGTATTCCGGCCAACTGCAAGATGGAGCACCTCATCCGACATCGAGGAGATTAAGAGGGAAAGGATCGACTGATTCTGTTGTACCCAAGCCTTATATACCGGATTGGGTGTGGGCTCAGTGGCGGTAGCACCGGAGTTGGAGTCCCCGAAGGTTGGCATCGTGACCATAGCTGCCGGACATGGGTAACTGCCATCAACGAATCCGATGAGGTCTAGGCCGCGGAGGAACGGAATGAGCTGCGTAGGCCAAAATAAAAAATTCCTCGATGTAAGCTTCATTGAGATGAAATGATGAGCTCCGGCGAGGGGGTTGAAGCCGCTCGGGGAAGGGCCGCCGCCGGCAGATACAGTCATTTCCGTTGAATTGGAGCACATGGTGGTGGTTCTGATTTTGCGTGGTGGTTTGCGGAAAAAAGGAGAGAGAGAAAGGATCTACCGGCTGATACCAGATGAGTGTGATTAATTCAATCGGTTGCAACAGAATAGATTACAAGATAGTATATCAAAATGTACCACTAAAGACTCCTAACTAATAGGCTAAGAGACTTAGACTAATTCTACCACCACAAGCTAATAATAATAATAATGATGATGATGATGATGATGATGATGATGATGATGATGATGATGATGATGATGATGATGATGATGATGATGATGATGATGATGATGATGATGATATAATAATAATATTAGGACTATGTGGTCTAATGGTACCCCGGGTTGGACTTCCATTTGGAAGGTTGTAAGTTCGAGCCTCAGTGGAGGCGTGTTGTTAGCTCTTTGTGTTTCAGTAGGTTGAGAAAGTATATGAACAGATACTACAATGTAATAGAGCTATGTGGTCTAGTATCATTCAAAATAATAATAAGACTATGTGGTCTAATGGTACTCAGGTTGGACTTTCATTTGGAAGGTTGTGAGTTCAAGCCTTAGTGGAGGCGGTATTTTGGTTCTTTGTGTTTCTGTAGGGTGAGCAACAAGACCAATACACCCTAAGGGTATACATATATTTAATAATATTAATTGTTTTTAAAAAATAAAATTAAGTCAATCATATTAACTAGAGGATTTATTGACAAAAAGAGTAATAATAATTGTTTTAAAAAATAAAAAAAAAAATTAAGTCAATCATATTAACTACTTGGAGGATTTATTGACAAAAAGAGTATTCAAATCACATAACAAATTGAAGTGGGAAACTACTTCGCAATGTCCTTGTTTGACAATCAGCAGTTAGCTCTTCAATATTAGTATATATTTAATATTTTATACCCTAATTTTTATTTGCTCTCCCTTATGTCCCGTATTTGGTTTCAACCATACTTATATAATTATATTATTGACAATTACAATCAATATTGACTGTATTATCTTGCATTTGTAAACTTAGAATTACCTATTTAAATACGCAAATTCAACATTCAATTATCTATGCATGAACAATTCCAATATAATCTTGCCTTGATATACTTTAAAGTACTTATTAAAAAAATATTGGGCATTATCCCAATCGCACAATGCGCGTAAAAAACTAGTATATATATATATATATATATATATATATATATATATATATATATATATATATATATATAAGGAACCGCAATGATATTGTTCTGAATGTTGCTTCCAGTGGAATAGCATCTTTGCTCTTGTCAGGAGGCAGGACAGCTCATTCCAGATTTGCTATACCACTCTCTTTGAACGAAGATTGCACGTGCAATATATCGCAAGGCATTGACCTTGCTAAGGTTATAATAATGAGCAAAATGATAATATGCAATGTAGCACTAATGACGCACAAACACTGTTTTCAAGCTTTGGACAAAATCATGAGGGATCTATTGAGGTTCGCCATACTAAGTAGTTCTGAAAAGACTTTTGGTGGAAAGACAATAGTTTTGGGCAGCAAGTTTAGACATATCCTACCTGTTACTCCAAAAGCAACAAGGCAGTAGATGTCAGAGCAACTATTAATTCTTCATACCTGTGGACAAATTGCAAGGTATTAAGGCTCACAAAGAACTTGAGACTACGAACCTTAGCTTTAGAGAAAGATAGATAGACGGTTGATTGGTTTTCAAAATGGATTGCAGACATCGGAGATGAGATTGCAGGGATTGTAAACGGTGGTTCATTTGAGATCGATATACCGGCACGGCTTTTGTTGAAGTGTGGACACGATCCCATATCAACTATAGTGGAAAGCACCTTCCCAAGCTCGAGATATGACATGCTTGATAAGTCACAGCTAGAAAGCCGAGCGATCCTCTCGCTGACTTTAGATGTCGTTGATCAAATTAATCAGTACATGTGCGACATGAATACTGCAGAAGGACAAACATATTTAAGTTGTGACTCTTTGTGTAAAGTAGAATCAGACAATGAAAATCTATCAGAAGTACACACTCCTGAATTCTTAAATAGTTCGAGATTGTCGGGTCTTCCTAATCATTCATTGACATTAAAGGTCGGTGCACCTATTATGTTATTGCGGAACATAGTCCACTCTCTTGGTATTTATAACGGGACGCGGCATCATCACAAGATTGACAGATCACATTGTCGAAGCAAGAATATTTAATGGGACACATGAAGGAACCAAAGTTCTTATCCCCCGATTGTCTCTCACTCCTTCTGATACGAGATTTCCCTTCAAGTTCCAGCGTAAACAATTCCCGTTGATGCTTGCATATGCCATGACTATCAACAAAATCCAAGACCAAACACTAACTCACATTGGGTTATTGCTAAAAAAAACCGGTTTTTAATCACGGACAATTGTACGTGACTTTCTCCCGAGTCACCCATCCTGATGGCTTGAAGGTGTTAGCTCTAGACGAGGATGGACAATATTGTGTTGCGACTACCAATTTCGTCCACAAAGAGATTTTCAATAATGTGTAAATACAATCGTTGATATTATTTTTTTTTTCAAAATGACAAAATTGCTATATATCTAGACAAAAATATATCGTATATGCAAATGAATTACGATAACAATTGAGTACTATAACTAAGTTGCTAGAGAACGAGCATATTTGTCTAATTTATAAAAAAAAAAAAAACTTAAATAATGATATATAAAATCTTTAAAATTACAGCACTGTATGCGTACATCTACACATTAGCTATTAATTTGACCAATTATTTGCTCAAATTCAAGCAATGATATCATCAACAAACATAAACGATCCAGACCATATCTTCAATTGCAATATATAATATTTGATGTTATAAATTAAATAATTGTATAACGACCCAAATCTAAAAACATAATAAGTGTGAATGAAAGTTATACCCCTAATTTATGTCCATTTTTTCCATTAAATTTTTTTGTACATTATGCTATAAAGGTTGTACATTAAAATATTTTGGACAAACATACCCCTACCGTTATAACTTCTGTTATCTTTTCCACTATTGTTACCATGCACATACATCAACCATATATTTTCTTATCTTCTTCATTAATAATAATATATACACATTATATATTTGAGTTATATGTTAATTATTACATAAAATTTAAATATCAAATTTATAAAAATGATTTACATTATTATTATTATTATTATTATTATTATTATTATTATTATTATTATTATTATTATTATTATTATTATTATTTAGAATAATTTAAATATCTAAAATCTAAATAAATTTAAAATTTTAATATAATGTATTAATATTGGGCACCTATTTTTTGCGCATCGCGCATAAAAAATACTATTATTTTTAATATATTATAACAAATCCATTCCGTGCATCGCACGGGTGAAAATACTAGTTACCTTAATAATAGGAGTAAAAGACATTTTTGGTCCTAGACTTATAGTGACATGGACAATTTTGGTCCTCCATAAAAAAATCAGACAATTTGTGGACACTCTTATTGTGACGAGGACAATTTTAATCCTCCGTTAACATTTCCATTAGATGACCGTTTAAAAGGAGGGTATTTGCGTCATTTCATGATATCTCCTTCTTGTAGCCTTCTAGAGTGTCCTTTTAGCAACCAAATACGCCGCAACATAGCCTAGCTCCCAGGGGTTTGGAAATATCTATCGTGCTCAAGGTATAAACGAGACAAATCCCGATCAACCATTCTTTCTAACTCAGCATTCCTGAAGAAGCGACCCCATATGATATCTACAAAGTATAATCATAAGAAATTAACTTGAATAAAAGTTTAACACTATGAATGCTACAGAAAAACAATCAAATCCATGAAAAGATCAAGAATCAAGTTGTTCGTGAAGAGATGCTAAAGAAAAATACATATCCTACCAGGGTTTTAAGACAGTGGGTTGTCCATAACAATATCTGGATAGGTGCTACCATCATTTGGTATAGCAGCATAACTGCAAGAAATAAACAAATAGGTTCAGGGTAGAAATATAATGCCCGATAATGACACAATTGTCACTCATGTAAGACAGGTTGAAGCTGTTTGCAGTTAGTAGCCAAAAACTATCTTGAGCTGTAGTACCCTAGATTTTTTTCAACTCTAAACTAAACAAATTATTTGACATTTAAATATTTAATAATCTGCTATGACACACACCTAAGGAAATATAAGCATTTATAAATCTGATTGTTCTTTGTTTAACTTTTGCACTTTTAATGTACCAAGTATTCACATTGGATGATGTTAGTTCACAAAAATTTGAGGAAACAGATTTAACTGCTAACATAAATATTTGTTGAAAAAGAATGAATTCAGTTATACGATGAAGAAGCAATTATATAAATTTATTAACTTTAAATTATCTAAATTCCATCATAGTATTAACGGAACCATGAAATATGATGACAAAAACAATGAAAAACAATAATTTTATGCGACATAAACTCCAATTAAACCCCATAGAAAAAAGAATTACCTTCTACGTAAGTCTGCAATCACGCGGCGAAGATCGATTATGGAAGTAGATGGAGAAGACGGCAAGATCCCCAAATCGACGTGCCATCGTTGGAAGAGATGGATCCCCAAATCGATGTGCCATCGTTGGAAGAGATGGATCTGCGGTCACGCGGCGAAGATCGATCCCCTCTCAGATCACGAAAACGCAGAGTCCTCTGTGGAGATGGAAGAGAAGAAGAAGACGATGAAAATCAAGGAGATATCATGAAATGACGCAAATACCCTCCTTTCAAACGGTCATCTAATGGAAATGTTAATGGAGGACCAAAATTGTCCTCGTCACAATAAGAGTGTCCACAAATTGTCTGATTTTTTTTATGGAGGACCAAAATTGTCCGTGCCACTATAACTCTAGGACCAAAAATGTCTTTTACTCTTAATAATAGTATAGTTAAATTAAACATGGGTCGTTAGGTTTTTTTATATTATTACAATTAATTTTATGATAATCAATATTTTTTTTTGTGCTTAAGGTATAATACTATGAGAAGTAAATAAATTATCATTTCTGTTTTTTCATGTAATTACTGTGGTAATTTTATGGTTATATATAAGGAGTCGCGGTGATATTGTTCTGAATATAATGTTGCTTCCAGCGGAGTAGCATCTTTGCTCTTGCCGGTAGGCAGGACAGCACATTCCAGATTTGCTATACCACTTTCTTTGAACGAAGATTCCACGTGCAATATATCGCAAGGCATTGACCTTGCTGAGCTTATAATAATGAGCAAATTGATAATATGAGATGAAGCACTGATGACACACAAACACTGTTTTGAGGTTTTTGACAAAACCATGAGGGATCTATTGAGGTTCGTCATACCGGGTAGTGCTGAAAAGACTTTTCGTGGAAAGACAATAGTTTTGGGCGGCAATTTTAGACATATCCTACCCGTTATTCCGAAAGCAACAAGACCAGTAGTTGTTGGAGCAACTATACGTGTGGACAAATTGCAAGGTATTAAGGCTCACAAAGAACTTGAAACTACGGACCTTAACTTCAGAGGAAGATAGACAGACAGTTGATTGATTTTCAAAATGGATTGCACACATCGGAGATGAGATTGCAGGGGTTGTAAACAGCGGTTCATTTGAGATCGATATTCTGGCACGATTTTTGTTGAAGTGTGGACACGATCCCATAACAACTACAGTGGAAAGCGCCTTCCTACGCTCGAGATATGACATGCTCGATGAGTCACAGCTAGAAGGCCGAGCGATCCTCTCGCTGACTTTAGATGTCGTTGATCAAATTAATCAGTACATGTGCGACATGAATACTGCAGAAGGACAAACATATTTAAGTTGTGACTCTTTCTGTAAGGCAGAATCAGACAATGAAAAATCTATCTGAAGTACACACTCCTGAATTCTTAAATAGTTTGAGATTGTCGGGGGTTTTTTCTAATCATTCATTGACATTAAAGGTCGGTGCACCTGTTATGTTATTGCGAAACATAGTCCACTCTCTTGGTATTTGTAACGCGACGCGGCTCATCATCATAAGATTGACAGATCACATTGTCGAAGCAAGAATAGTTAATGGGACACATGAAAGAACCAAAGTTCTTATCCCCCGATTGTCTCTCACTCCTTCTGATACGAGATTGCCCTTCAAGTTCCAGCGTAAACAATTCCCGTTGATGCTTGCATATGCCATGACTATCAACAAAATCTAAGACCAAACACTAACTCACGTTGGGTTATTGCTAAAAAAAACTGGTTTTTAATCACGGACAATTGTACGTGACTTTCTCCCGAGTCACCCATCCTGATGGCTTGAAGGTGTTAGCTCTAGACGAGGATGGACAATATTGTGTTGCGACTACCAATTTCGTCCACAAAGAGATTTTCAATAATGTGTAAATACAATCGTTGATATTATTTTTTTTTTTTCAAAATGACAAAATTGCTATATATCTAGACAAAAATATATCATATATGCAAATGAATTAGGATAACAATCGAGTACTATAACTAAGTTGCTAGAGAACGAGCACATTTGCCTAATTTATAAAAATCTTAAACAATGATATATAAAACTTCTAAAGTTACAGCACCGCATGCGTACATCTACACATTAGCTATTAATTTGAGCAATTATTTGCTCGAATTCAAGCAATGATAGCATCAACAAATATAAACGATCCAAACCATATATTCAATTGCACTATATAATATTTGATGGTATAATGTAAATAATTGTATAACAACTCAAATATTCTTAATATATTATAACAAATTCATTCCGTGGATCGCACGGGTGAAAATACTAGTTAAGGAGTAAAAGTGATGGAGTAAAAATAGGAAGTCCGTGTAATAGAACTCATAAATTTAGGGGTCATTTTACAATTAAGGAATAAATGTATCTAGAACGAATTTCGCTCCTACCACTGGGGATCCTCCGCTCTAGTAGAACCCTAACCCTAAACGAGTATCTAAAGCACTACATATAAAAGCTGCAGTGCTTCCTTTCTTCTAAACGTTTGGGCTGCAATCCTAGTACCGAGGAGGCTAGGAAGCAACGATGGTGTCGCTGAAGCTTCAGAAGCGTCTCGCTGCCAGCGTACTCAAGTGTGGCCGTGGCAAGGTTTGGCTTGACCCCAATGAAGGCAATGAAATCTCCATGGCCAACTCCCGTAAGCTCTCTCTCATTCTCTCTCCGTGTGTCTCCCGTAAACATTTTGCTTTGTTCGATTTTATAGCTGTAATCATGATGTGTTGGTCGTGTATGGTGATTCATTCTTTCGATTCATCGTTCAGTACATACGATTGGATAGTCCTGTGGTTAAAGACATGGCGTTAATTTGATTGATAATCAAGTGGTTTAAAGGTATTTTGTTTTTACCTGAAGAGATAGACAAGATGTTTTAATTTAGCTCCACTAGATAGAAACAGAAGCATGTTGGGTAGTTTGTGACTATCCAAAAAGAAAGAACAAACAACTGGCAAATTTTGTATTTTCATTTTCATTTTTTTTAAAAATAAAATTTCCATAGATCATTAGACTTGTTTCTTACACAATTTTAGTCCCACTACTGAAAAGTTGAAAATACCTTTCAAAATCCTCCTAACATTTTATTGGCTTTATCAAAAAGTAGCTGAAGCTCAGACCCAAGTTCAATATTCTGAAAATCAACTGACTATGGAGATATGCAGTCCAAACAAATCTGAAATGTTTGATTGAGTTTCCACTTACCATCTCCTTCATACACTGTAGCTGATCATGAAGGAGGGGAATACCTGCAATCTTTTTGTCCCTGTTGTGTTTCAGAATAAAGCTCGAATGCTTTAAGAAGGGTGGAAAACAATTTCCAAAACACAACCCTGTTTCATGTGGCCTCTTGGAGTTCCCCCCAAATTAGATGCACTATAGAAGTTCAAAAATGAAAAACAATAACAGTTCCAAAATATTTTTCTTTGTTTCCCAAATTTCTGAAAGCAAAAACATAAAATTAGAAGTGCATCATGTTACTAAACAACTACTTAGATTATTGTAATCAAGGTTGTAAAAGGCACTGTTGAATGGGTGACTAGGCGTCTAGGTTCCTTAATAACAAAAGTGTGTGCCAGTGTGTGAGTGTATTCCTTCATTTATAGTAATTAAAAAAACATTTTAGCAATGCTAAAATAAAGCATTAAAGCTCAACCCTAGCTTAAAGCCAAAACCTGAAAGTCTAACCCTTATTCAAAGCCTCAAAGTTGCATAAGCTACTCAAGCTAGCATTGATAAAGCATTAATTAAAGTGAGAAATTGTAAAATCTCATACCTGCGACTCCATTTTTCTAAATGGGGAGTGGGTGACATGTGATTGAGTGATGGGTGACAGTAACTCGTCGGTGTCAATCGGCTGGGGTTGACGGGTGACAGACGATGGATGGCCTAGTCGGCTGGCTAATCGGCCAGCTACCTAATGAGCACATATTACCTAAATCCCATCAGCATAGGGGCACCTTGGCCGATTTTTGCAACACTTATTATCATTGTCCAGATTTTGAAGAGTTGTTATTAGCTTAAAAAGATTGTGTTGCCTGAAACTTATAATAATGTACTATTAATTAATAAAATAATAATAATCCAGTATGCAATCAGGTGCCTATCCTTGCTTTTGAACTTGGAATTTACCCATTAAGTTTTATTGTTTTTCTGTTCAACTTGAACTTGTGACATAATGACCATTGTGATAAAAATGCTTCTACTTTTCCTCAAATGAATATAAGTTGCTAAATGTGGTTTATTAGGATTTTGAAGCGGTTAATTAATATGCTTTTCTCTTATTTTAAATTAACATGGTGGTTAGTTATGTATTCAGATTGGTCCGCTCTTTTCACTGTGGTTTTCCTCCATTCTTTGGCATGATAACCATTGATCTCCTTCCTGTTGCCTTTATGTGGAATTTTTGGGTTTGGACTGATGAGTCATTGATGCTGGATTTCTGATTGCAGGGCAAAACATTAGGAAACTGGTCAAAGATGGTTTCATTATCAGGAAACCAACTAAGATCCACTCCAGGTCTCGTGCACGTAGAATGAAGGAGGCAAAAAGAAAGGGGCGCCACTCTGGTTATGGTATTGTTTTTCTACTCTTTTGTCTTCTAAAAGTTTGTAGGAGTTTTTGTCCTCAATAGTGAGGATTTTGGTGTAGTTTTTTAGGAGTTTTTGTGAGTGATTAGGAAAGAGAAGATGGTAGGAAAGAGAATAAAAGAAAAAAATAATAATAAATGCTGATTTAAAAAAAAAAAAAGTGGAAACATTGGCCAGCAACGCGCCCAGCTGGCGTGAAAGTAACTTTAAATGGGTGTGGGTCCCATTGTTCTGCAAAATCTCCAAATTAGCAGATGAGACTCAAATCTTCTCTCTCTTAATTATTATCCTTCCATGTTGGCAAAACATTATTTAACTTGTGCATAATCCCCTTGTTGGGGATGCCCTAATAGGTAGAGTTAGTGTCAGTAAGTTTTTATTCTTTGAAGGCCTGAAGGGTTTCTGTACTGTAAAAAAAGATTCAGTGAAAAGGTTTCCATGACTTGTTACTTGTCCTTTTACCTTTGTACCTTTATAGTTGGTGGTTTCACAAAGTTGTTTGAAACTAGCAACTTGTTTCTTCTTTCTTGAAGTTTTCTCTCATAACTCCCATAAGACATTTCCATCATGCTCTTTGTATGGACATGATCAGGTAAGCGCAAAGGTACCAGGGAGGCAAGATTGCCAACAAAAATCCTCTGGATGAGGAGAATGCGTGTGCTAAGGCGCTTGCTCCGAAAGTACAGAGAATCAAAGAAAATTGATAAGCACATGTACCATGATATGTACATGAAAGTTAAAGGAAATGTCTTTAAGAACAAGAGGGTGCTTATGGAGAGTATCCACAAATCAAAGGCAGAAAAGGCAAGAGAGAAGACATTGTCTGACCAGTTTGAGGCCAAGCGTGCTAAAAACAAGGCAAGCAGGGAAAGGAAGTTTGCTCGGAGGGAGGAGCGCTTGAATCAGGTAAAGATATCTTTTATCTCATTGAGGAAGAGTGATTCAATATTTAAATCACTATATATTAATCGTATAAACATTAATCATCCAGTTTAAAAGTATAAAAACACTGATTAAAATTGACTATTTTTGAAACATCTAAATATTATGAGAACGTAATAATGTCAAGGCAGGTCAACTGTTTTGCACAACACGAAACTTGCTGTATTTATTACTTTTGTGATGTTTTTCAGGGACCTGGAGAGAGGTCTGCCGCTGCTGCAGTTCCACCTGCAACTAAACCAGCCGAGTAAGTTGGGAGCTATATCCTCTAAACACTTGTATCATGCAATCCAACTTATTCTAAATATACTTGTATTATACTAGCCAACTTAATAGTTCTTTCCACCTTGGTTCTTTCAGTGCTGGCAAGAAGTCCAAGAAGTGAATGATTTGACATCTCTTGGAAAGGTGATGTTGAGGCATTGTTCCCCCAGACATCATATTTGCATTATGGACCTTGGTCAAAAATTTATGTTATGTGCGCTTTCAATTTATTAACTGTTATTTTGGACTAGGGTCCACAATGCAAGGTAGATCTTGGTCCATGATATAATTTGTCAAATTGCTATATACTTTGAAACCAAAATTCTGTTGTTTAAAATGAACAAATTGGAAAGGTGATGTTGAGACATTGTTCCCCCAGACATCATATTTACTGTTTTTTTGGTCAATTTTGTTGTTAAAACACTGGTTGAATGATTCTGTTATTGTAATACATACTTTGTGCCACCTAATGTGCTTCATTATCTTTGTGATTTTTGTCTTCACTAGAAGGTAACGGGAAAGTTTTGCTTGACAGAGTGACGGTTGGATTAATTTTATTTATTTTTCTTGATCGTTCAAGAGCAAATAATAGCTCCTTTCCCTGCTGACTTATATGGACATGATAGATTTCTTAACAAAATTTTTAAATAGTATTTTTATTATGAAAATTTTCAATTTATAATTGGATTGAATTTGGGTGAATTTCTCTTTTTATCTTGCTGACACAACATATTTGGAAATGATTTTATATTTCAAAACTCTCTCTCTCTATCTTTTATTACTGCACTTTTATTTCAGTACTTAAACAACCAAACCTAATTTTGAAAAGAACAAATGCATGCATCACAAGTAAAAAGGGTGTAAAATTTATTTTTCGATGTGTACTTGAAATAAAACTAAGATCAAGTTTACTTGAGCTTAAGAACTTTTGAAAAAGATTTTAAAAAGAGAAAATGATACTTTATTCTTGAGTTATATACTTAATAGTATTTTTTCTCCTTGTATTATTGAAGTGGTTGTTTTTTCTCCTAAAATGTTAAAATCCTTAAAATAAATATTTTATTTGTTTTTCATCTCCAACAAATTATGATCCGAATTTGGTTCAAACCAAACAGACACTATACCAATGTAACACTTCGAGCACTCAATAAATCGTCGTGTCGTCAGCAAGGTAGTTGTACCCGATATTTTAGATAGAAAATAGTCTGTTATTAGATCTTCTATATATATAAACAGTACATTATATGGAAGGTAAATCTTTTCTCTAACCTCTCTGAACTTCATCTTCTCCTTTCTCCTTCTGCATTTTTCTGCTTCTTCTCTCTGCACAACCTTTTGTCATTTCTACTTCTTCTCCCTTTCCTTACAGTTCTGTCTATTCTACTTCTTCTCCCTTTCCTTACAGTTCTGTCTATTCTTCCCTTTCTCCCCTGCTTGGTTCGAAGGTTCGTTGGAATTGGTATCAGAGCCCTAATCTGGGAACTCAGAACCGTATCTCATCCACCATGGAAGCTCGGTTGGACAAACTTGAAGTCCAAATGGTGGAGTTGAACAACAAAGTTGACATACAATTTCAAGTGACTGATAATTTGATAGAGAAGCTAAAGGTTCAGATGTCCAATCTTAGTGATGATATGCTCAGATTCAGAGACGAGGTGCTGGAAGTTATGGGACTTGCTAAATCTACTCTCCCGGTGAAGAATCTCGAACAGCGAGGCTCCATAGTCCAAGCACCTGTAATGGCTCCCCTTTCTCCACAGCTAGTGCCACTTGAGGCCGACGGGAGCGATAGATCTCCTCCTCTGGTTCCGAATGATGAATCAAGGATCCCTGCCGGAGATTCTAAACTACTAAAGACAAATCAAGAGGTTGAGGTAATTGAAAATGCTACTACTTGCTTAGTTGATAAGGGCATGCGTGATGATAGTCTACCACCTCTTGATAATTTGGAGGAACTTAGTGATGTCAAGGAAGAAATTGATGTTGAATTTACTGCTAAAAATGAAGAAGTACACTTAGTTGCAATGCCAAGTAAACAGAAAAATTTCCCTTATTTCTGGTGTTTCTCTATGCCGCGTGGGTTATATGGTTCATGTTTGGGAATGCTAAATATGAGGTGTTTATCTATTGTGTTTGATCTTGATGAGACGCTGATTGTTGCTAATACAATGAGGTCATTTGAGAATAGGATTGAGGCTTTGCGAAGTTGGACTGCGCGAGAGACAGATCCAATTTGGGTGTTAGGTTTGTCAGCAGAGACGAAGAGATACACTGAGGATATGGCATTACTAAAACAGTACATAGAGGGTGATTGTGTTGTGGATGGTAATAAAGTATATAAGGTTGTTCAAGAGGAGGTTCCCCAGTTATCTGATGGGCATGAGTGCACTCTTCGTAGGGATGTCAATTTAGCCCTGAACCAATGGGCTGGCCCAATAAGCCCTAAAAATTGCAGGGCTAAAATCCAAAAAGATCAATCCAATAAAAAAAATAAGCTCATTGCGTTGGCCGTATCGGGTTATTGGATTGAGTTGGGCCAACTCATGGATTGTTGAGCTGGCCCGTGTAATATCCAATCATTATTGGATGGACCAAAGTTCATACAACTTGTGTAGACCATGAATATATGGTACATTTTTAATATACTAAACATACATCATTTGTGTATTGAAGGTACATTATTTGGTAGTATATATAAAATAATGTACTTTTATACACTACACACATTATATATATATATATATATATATATATATATATATATATATATATATATATATATATATACACACACACACACACACACACTATATCTACTATACTAATAAGAGCCCAAGAGAGTTAGGCCTATAATGGGTAGAAAAAATGGCGGTCAAAATTTTTAATCAAATGAATGGCACAGATAGATCAGATTTTAATTTTTCCTTAAGATTTCCTAATTTATCCTTAATGCTTATGATTATCCGTTAACTTTTCTGTTAAATATTATCTTTTCCGTTAATTTCTGTTAGTTCACCATTAACTTACTCATTGATTTCAATAAGAAAATCTTAGGTTCGAACCTCATCCCAATCAAAGTTGGCATAATTAGTACTCTATTTTACTCTTATTAAATTAAAAAATAATAATTTAGTAGCTACAACAAAAAATAATACATGTGCATTTACAAAAATATTCATGATCAATAAATTAAATAAGAGAAATAATTTCATGAGTTATATTGTATTTATTTTTCTCTAATATAAAAATTATTTACATTTAAATTCATCAATTGATTATATTCGCTACATTGTCCCTACAATGTCTTTATTAAAAAAAAAATCATTATCAATAAATTAATTAAGAGAAATACTTTTATTAGCTAAATTGTCTTTATATTTCTCCAATGTAAAAATTCTTGACATTCAAATTCATCAATTGATTATATTCGGATCACTACATTGTCTATTATCTTTTTTGTGTACTATTTTTTTAATTAAATATCAAAATTATAATACAAAATAATGCTATATATTTATTTACCAAGTATTTTATTAATACCATGAAAAATTTTAAAAAATATAATTAATAAAGCCAATCATATTCACTACTTGAGGAATTTGTTGACAAAGAGAGTATTCAAATCGCACAACAAATTGAAGTGAGAACTACCTCGCAATGTCCTTGTTTGACAATCAGCAGTTAGCGGATTATGTTAGCGAATTTGACCAGCAAATTATATCAACGGTTGGTAAAAAGATATTTGAAAAAATTAGCTGTTTAGATTAACATGTAAATAATAATAATAATTGTTTTTAAAAAATTAAAAAAAAATAATAATTAAGCGAATCATATTAACTACTTGGGTGATTTATTGACAAAAAAGAGTATTCGAATCACACAACAAATTAAAGTGGAAAACTATCTCGCAATGTCCGTTTGGCAATCAGCGGTTAGCTCTTCAATATTAGTATATATTTAATAATATTTTATGCCCTAATTTTTATTTGCTCTCCCTTATGTCCCGTATTTGGTTTTAACCATACCTATACAATTATTTTATTGACAATTATAATCAATCTTGACTATATTATCTTGCATTTGTAAACTTAGAATTGCTTATTTAAATAAGCAAATGAGAAAATTTCAATTTTGGTCCACTGACTATTGGAGTTGTGTTAATTGCAACACTTGACTATTAAAAATGTTAATTTAGTACATTGACTATGCAATTTCTATCAATTTTGATCACGCCGGTCAAATTACCGGCGAAAAGTGACCGGAAAAATTTTAATGGTAAAATCATGGGGGTATTTTGGTCTTTTACTTCTTCACTATTCTTCTTCTCCGTTGGGTTTCTTCTAGGCGCAGAAGTGCAGAACCCATGAAGGCCATTGATGGGTTTGTAACTTTGTTTGCATCCAGAGCACTTAGACCAAGAAAATTGGCAACAGTCAATGGCTTCAACCACAGTATTAGTTTAATTTATAACTACAACATAAAACAAGCACATCTAACAAGATAAACTATCAACCTCATGTGGCAAAATTTTAAGGAATTACCTACAAATTAATCAATAGTTTGAAGCTTCAAACAGAGGACAAAGGTCAAAAAATTAGAGACAGCCCAAGGATTTGAACCCTAATCCGGCATTTCCCCATTACACTCTAAAAGAATTAGAGAAACAAACAAATTCGTCTCATATCTTATGCTTGGGCTAGACGGCAGAGGCGACGGAGATGGTAGGATTTAGAGTGAATTTGCGACGGAAACCGGATAAAAAAGATGAGAGAAGACGGTAATGAAAGCCATGGAAACCTGCAGTTGAAGCGCACAAATGAGCACAAGCTCGTAATCCGAGAAGAGGGGGAAATTTTCCGGTGGAGCCCTGGAGAAGAAGAACAGAGAAGAAGAAAAGACCAAAATGTCCTCATTTTTTACCATTAAAATTTTTCCGGCCAATTTTCGCCGGTAATTTGACCGGTGTGACCAAAATTGATAGAAATTACATAGTCAATGTACTAAATTAACAATTTTAATAGTCAAGTGTTACAATTAACACAACTCCAATAGTCAGTGGACCAAAATTGAAATTTTCTCTAAGCAAATTTAACATTCAATTATTTATGTATGAACAATTCCAATATAATCTTGCCTTGATATACTTTAAAATATATATATATATATATATATATATATATATATATATATATATATATATATATTACATTATTTGATAGTATATATAAAATAACTTTTATACACTACACATTATATATACACTACACACACACACAATATATATATATATATGAACATGCTCTATTTGCAATAAAAATTTTGTTTAGTGATTTAACCCGTTGGATTAGCCCAACAACCCGTTTTTTAGGGTTAGGGCCAACCCAACTCAAAAAGAAAAAAATAAAAAACCATTTAGCCCAAGCCAATTAGTCCACCAACCCTGTAGGGCTAGTCCAAAACTCAGCGGGCCAGCCCATTTGACATCCCTATCTCTTCGTCTAGTCATGAGGTTGCAGGAAAAGAATGTTGTCCTTACACGCATCAACCCAGAGAACTGTGACACTAGTGTGCTA